TCAAGCGAGGGTTGGGTAGAAACAGAGAACCAATTACAAGGATCTAAATATAACCTCCTCCCTGGGGGACAGACAACAGAAAAGTGGGTGAAGGGAGATGTTTGACAGTGTAAGATATGACAAAACAATAATAATTTATAAATTATCAAGGGTTCATGAGGGAGTGGGGAGCAAGGAGGGAGGGGGGATGAGGAACTGATGCCAGGGGTTTAAGTGGAGAGCAAATGCTTTGAGAATGATGAGGGTAACAAATGTACAAATGTGCTTTACACAATTGCTGTATGGATGGATTATGAAAAGAGTTGTATGAGCCCCCAATAAAATGATTTTTTTTTTAAATCCAGGAAAGGTTAAAAAAAAAAGAGAGAGAGAGAGAGAGAGAGGGGGTATCCTGATACATGCTACAGCATGGATGAACCTTGAAAATGTTCGTGCTGAGTGAGATACAGCCATTACAATGCTCCCACTTAAATGAAATAAGCAGCTGGGTGGAGACCAAAGCTGGTTAGTGCTCAGCAGGGAAGGGAGAGCTGCTGCTCAGGGCCCACGGAGTCTGGTTATGGCCATGGGACTGGTGCAGTGTTTGCAGAAGGAGATTGGTAATCGTTGTGCGACCTGATAAACACAGTCCACTTCGCCAAATTATACATATGAAAAACTGAATTGGCAAATGTTCTAAGTGTATTTTTTACCACAATTTAAAAAGAATTCCAGTGTAGACAGAGGCACATCAAGAGATTTGCCTTTGTGCTGGCCCCTGCTAGTGCCACGGGGTGGCTAAGAGAGATCAGAGAAAGGATGCCTGCTCGGGGATTTGTAGAGTGTAAGAGTCGAAGGTCTCCGAGTTCATAGACACGCTGTTCACCTTCTCCTAGCCTTCTCTGGTCTGGGGGGGATCCAGCTTACAGTCATAGGTCTAGCATCTTGAGTGCAGGGAAGCCATGTCTTATCCAAATTCAGCACTGAAACCTAAGAGAGAAACATATGCCAATGAAGAACCCAGGTGGCAGAGTAGATTACACTCTGGCTGTTAACCACAAGGTCAGCAGTTCAAACCAACCAGTTGCTCCACAGGCAAACAGCAAAGCTTTCTGTTCCCATAAAGATTTGTATCCTCCAAAACGGAAAGGGCCAGCTCTGCTCCGACTACAGAGTATGGATGAGTCAGAATGCGCTGATGACACTGCGAGAGCAACGAGCAACGGCAGAGGGAGGGCTGAACGGTCTTGCTCATCAAAAGAAGCGAGTGGTTCGGGAGACGGTAATATGTCCCACCCACAGGTCTTCATAATCTCTCCAAAGGGAGCAGACTCTTGCTGCAAAAGGGAACTTTTTATATCAATCGCTTTATTGGGGCTCTCACAGCTCTTATAACAAGCCATGACCCACCGTATCCAGCACGATGGGTGCGACAGGCCAGGTACTAGTTCCCACGCTGCGGTCGCAACTTTTTCGTGGGAATGAAATCCAATTCGGATTCAAATCCCACTGTTTCCAAATTAAACCAAACAGGACCGAAAACCCCTGATCGACCTGTCGCCCCCTACTGAAGGTAAGGATCGTGTTTATGATAGTTCTGTGGGAAAAGGAGTTCCTCGTCTTGGGATACAGCTAAAAAGGAGTTTGAACGTTAACAGACTACAGGATCTTTTCTCTTTTTTTTCAGACTACCTGATCTGAAGGTCCATTTTTGGTCCGACAGTCTAACATTTCTTTTAACTTCTCTTTATTGTGAGATGACAATGTTGACTTAATATCTGAACACACTAGATACAAGATGGAGACAGGACATGCTCATCCATGCCACATCTCCACACATCAGTCCCCTCTGCGTGGGATTTCTAGAGACACTGTAGCATGAAAAGCCACTAGCAAAGAGCCTCAACTGTAGTAAAAAAAAAACAACCCAAAAAAGCCGATTCTGACTCATAGGGACTCTCTGCAGGGCTTCTGAGACTAATCTTCCTCTCACGCTGCAGCTGGTGGGTTTGAACTGCCCGCCGTGTAACAGGGCCCAATGAAAGACACAGCCATCTGGAAGAATGCAGAATAAAGGGAAAAGACTTTATTCCCACTAGCCCCGGGGAAAGGTTGACAAAGCACTTCTCCTCGGTGACTTACTTTGGGAGGTCTAGCAGGACTGCTGACTAAGCCTTTGTCGTGTAAATCCCTCCCACGTCTGAGTCCTAGGAGAAAAAAAAGAGTTTCCCAGAAGGAAAAAGATACAAAAGCTTTATTTAGAAGATAAGGCTAGTGCTATGAGAAAAACCCTTCTATTAAATCTCCAGAAAGCCTCGAGCTTCATAGTTGCCCAATACAGGTAGGCTCTCACCATCCCTCGGTTGGCCGGTTGATTCTGGACAGCTTCTAGATCTAGACAGACATGGTACACAACAAGCAGCTCAGTCCAGGGCCTATGCTTCTCTCTAGCCAGGGGCAGCTGCATCACCATCCAAAAACGTGTGCTGCGCTGTAGGTGTGGTCATTCACACACCTGGTGCAGGAATGAGTGATGTGGAGGTGTAAGGCAACCACTCAGCTCCCTAGCCTGATGTAGAAAGCAAGTTCTTTGTCATTCCCGCTCCAGCTCCCGCTTCCTCCCTGACCACTCCCTCAGTCCCACTCTGTGTTCCAGACACACCTGAAGGGCTTCCTCGTGCCTCTAGACCTGTGCACATACGATTCCCATAGCCTAGAATTCTCGTCCTACCACACCTCCTACCTGTCACCCCTACCTCATGAGGCTGCTCAAAGGCCTATGCCCGCAGGCTGTCCCCACAGAACAGTCGGACCCATGTGTATGGTTCCAGACACCCAGGACATACTCTTCACACCACTCATCACACTGCCTGGCTCCTGCCCACTCCATTAGCTCCCTCCGAAAATCCCCTGCGGCTAAAAACAGAATCCTGTTTACAGCCACAGCCACAAGACCCTTACGAAGAAGGATTTGTAAACTGAGTAAGCGGCTAAATGAATGAAGCAATGGCCCCTGCTGTCAAAGGGCTTAACATCCAGTTGATCAATAGGACACAGACATAAAAACATCAATAAGCATGTGCCAGGGGCAGCAATTACTTGAAAAGTTGGAATCGGAAAAGAGCAGCCTGGGAGTAAAGAGAGGTGAGTCCATCATGGTGAAGCACTGCTCCTGGGCTGGTTTTGAGTGAAGAGGTGAGATAAGCAATGTCTAGAAGATGAACTTGTTGGTAGTCTCTCCGATTTGGAGGGGAAGAAACAGGAAGGTCAGCTCAGATGACACTGTGAAATCCCACACGTGAGGCATAGAAACGAGGAGCTAACTAGATGGGCAACTGTCACACACCGTGGGCACGGCAAGGGGAGACGCTGTGCATCTGGGCATCTCCGTGAAGGACAGCTCAGCTTCTAACTGAAAGACCCAACTGTCTTCCAGGGTTCAGGTCCTAGAGAACCTGGCACGAGTCCTATCCTTCCCTGTACTGTCCGCCCAAACCCCTTGCTGTTAAAAGTCTATTTTGACCCCGTTAAAAGTCTATAGGGACCCCGTAGGGCCGAGTAGACATGCCCCATTGTGCTTCCAAGATTGTAATCTTTACAGAAGCAGATTGCCAATCTTTTCCCAAGGAACAGCTGGTGAATTTGAATTGCAAACCTTTGGTGAAGCAGACTAGCACCTAACCAGGGCCCCACTGGAGTTTCTAATACTAGCACTATCTTGAGACCAAGCGCCTCACCAGCGGCTGCTTAAATAAGCAGGCGAAAAGAAACCACTCCGATAAAGCCTCTGGCGAATCCCCTCTGACCATCCACCAGGAATGTGAATAATCTTGTTATCATACTGACCGCCTTGGAAAGTGGATCACTGCAGACGCACTCACTAAAAATTGAACCCCTTATCATTTGATCTCCCTTTTGGCCCATTTTAAATTTGTGGTCGTTTTTCATATTTTCTGCTTTCTTTTCCATTGAAGTTGCCCTGTTTTACTTTGTTATTGTTGTTGGGGTTTTGTGCATGTTTTTCCGCATATGAAATCCAGGATGGATAAATCCATAGAAAGAGTCACTGGAAGAATGGCTTCATGAGAGTGTGACACGCAAGGTGAGGAGGAAATGGGGAGCTGATGACGATGAGTACCGGCAAGCAGAAAAAGGCCTAAAATTGACTGTGCTGCTGATTGCACGGCTCTTCCTAAGAGGACTGAACTATTCAACTGCATGACATGTGAATTATATGCCAATAAAACTGCTAAAAATAATAAAAGAATAAGGGGAGGAAAAAGAGGAAACCACTCCAAGGGCCAGCATTCCAGTGCCTTGATTCCAAACAATAGAGTCTTGGATTTTCAAAGTCTAAATTATCTCTGTCCCTAGCCACAAACACTAATTGGCTGCCTAGACTTTGTAAGAAGTTCAAAAATAAAAGTCATTCCTTTTGACGTCGGGAGTTTACAGTTTTACATCTCAAATTTAAAAGTAAGACAATCTGTGTGCAAACAAGTTTTCTGATGATCTCTAAAAGCTGATGGAATATCCCCAGAACACAGTAGGAGTGGGGGTTTTTGGTTTTGTTTCTTCAATCTCTATTTACCACTGCTTTAACTGAATTAGGATTGTCCTCTAACGCAGCGGTCTCAGTCTTCTGGGTGGGTAAGGAAAATCCTCAGCCAGAACTTGGAGATCATCAGCTTTCACCTGCCTTGAAATTTGGAGTCAAACTTTGAACGCCGAGACAATAACGAATGAGCCTTTGGGAAGGTACATCCTGAAGACGGATGCTGAGCCAGTCTTTTGGGCCGGAGGGAGGAAGTTGAGAGATTTGCGATGGTGAGCACTGGGAGTTTATCTAAGAAGAGAGCAGAAGAAAATGAGTAGCAGGTCACCAACAGAAGGAGGCGGAACAGAAATCGTTTAAGGCTTGCCAGGAAAGGAACGGGGTGGCTCATTCACCTTCGGTATCCAGGGCAGTTCTGGGGAGTGAACCCAGCATTCGGGGGTGGCCTCTCTCAACCCTGCGAATAGTCGCCCAGCATTGTGGGTGCTGACAAATAGCAGAGCTGCAGGCAGTTTCGTCCCACAGGGTCTCATCTGGCAACTTCATTGCTATAAAGAGTTTAGGACAGAAGCCAACCCTGCAGCTTTCTCACTTTCTGGAGAACAAAACACACATAAGAAGAGCGCATTACATATCAGCCATGTCGTTCAGATTCTAATTTGGACTCAATGCATAAAGCATTTCTGTTGAGCCCAAGTAGTTAAATGGTGGTGATAGGATAATTATGGATTTGGTGACAAGCAAGAAAACTCAAAGCATGAGGTCGACGGGCAAGAGTGTGGGAATAGATTGACTTGAGATGGTTTCCCAACTGACCAGCTAATAGCGGAGTGACCTGAGACTTAACCTGTGTCCTCGTCTGAGAAATGAAGATAAGCCTATCTCACAGGGTTATTCCAGAAATGAATGGATATTAAAAGGCTTGATGGATGCTGTGCAGGTGAGTCATCCTCGTGATGACACCGCGTGAGAGCATAAAGCTGTCCCACAGGGTTTCCTGACTGCATTTATCGAGGCATGCCTGCAATGTCAGAAAGATGGTTCACAACAAATTGTTAGCATCTTCTCCTCTTCATAGTCATTAGAGAGAAAACGCCATCATTTCCAGAAAGTGTTTTCAAACGATAACGCCATTACAGAAGTGCTTTAGGTGGTGCAGGAACACCAAGAACCACTGCTCTTCCACTGGAAGACCTGCTTCACTTTTCAGTATGTTCCAATTCCCATGCAGAGCGCTCAGTTACCCCCGAAAATGGCTGTCTGTCTGCTCTAACAGTGAACAACAGTCTCGATGCACTTGTATCAAAGGCTGTTAGGTTCTCAATTGTTGGCCGTATGGTCTTAGGCAAATGACTTCCTTCACCTTTCATGGCTGTTTCCTCAGACTGGAGAAAGTCATCCCTGAGGATTACAGAAGTATGAAAAGAGATGTACGTGTCACTTCTATGTGCTCAACAAATATTATAATATTTTCCTTTGTAAAGAAGCCGTAGGTAATCATTACCACCCTATTAGCTCCGTAAGAGCCGTGCCTGATTGTTTTGGTTACATTCATTGACGACTGAGCATGTGAGGGGCACTGTTGGGGGCACCACAGAGAACAGCAGTGGGCATGATAAAGTCCTTGCAGTTTGTCATTTAGAACAGAGAGGACAGACGATGGCCCTGGGGTTACACCTGGTCAGTAACGTGTTTGGCCTGCACTTTGGGGCAGTGTTTTAAAATTGAGATTGGCCACCATGTCCAGCTTTCTGGCTCCTCTTTAAAAGCAAACATGTCTGACAATCCTAGGTCCACTTCCAACAAAATAACAACTGACTAGAGCAGATGAGCTTCTGACGTCTGTAAACCCGGTCTGCTCAAAACAAAAACAAACCGGGTCTGCTCTAGCTAGGGTTCCCCACCAGATCTTGTAGCCTGTAACGGACTGAAGTCATTTCAGTTGCCATTTACCACACCTGCTCTGCTGTTTTTCTCAGAGACACGTCTCTGTGCCCAGGTCTCTATTAAAAGCAGGAAAACAAAAGGCTAGTTTAAGAGGGCATGCGTGTGTCAACAACAAAAAAAGTAGGACAGAATACAATTTCTCTTGTTTAATTATGAAAATAACACCCATCAGAACACCACACTGCAGCCACGGTAATATTTTTGGCTGGGAAAGATGTAAGTTGAACAATGTGGTGAAAAGTAAGCCCGGTCACATGCACAGATACACGCACACCCATGTTCTTGGCAGCACTTCTCACAATAGCAAGATGGAAACAACCTGAGAATACCACGCACACATCCCAGAATAATGACAAAATTGTGAAACACCTCGTGACATGCGTGGATTTGGTGGACATCGTGCCGAGTGAACTCAGTCTATCACAAAAAGATAAATATTGCATGGGCCAAAAAATTCAAAAAAATGTTTTCATAGCGGCACAAAGACGTCGATGGTTACCAGGAGTTGGGAGGGAGGGAAACAATAGGCTAGCCCTGTGGATCGCCACCCCTTTCACTGGGGTCGCCCCATTCATCACAGTAGCAAAATGACAGTGATGAAGCAGCAACAAAAATAATTTTATGGTTGGGGGTCACTACAACATGAGGGACTGTATGAAAGGGTCACGGCATTAGGGAAGTTGAGAACCACTGGGCTAAAGGGTAGATAGATGGGCGTTAACGTGGGTGATGGAGGCAATATCCTATAAGAGGAAATGGGCAAGAAAAAATGGGGAGGGCTGATGAGAAATAGGGCAAGGTATGGGGTAGTTTGATAAGTTGTTAACTGCAAAAAGGATTATCTAATACATAAACTTCCACTTAATTTACAATAAAAAGTTGATTTTTTTAAAACCCAATTTGAACAGGGTTTGTTTTTTCAATGTGAGTGTGAGCATTATATATTCAATGTGAGCATTAATAGTTTTTACACCAGACAGCTTCTAGTTCTTTCCCTATCTGCCCAACTGGAATTGAGCCCCAGGACCTGACGCCACCGCCCTGGTTAGTTGTGCTCTTAACTGCAAGGTCTGCCAGTCCTCGGGAGGAGAGA